AACACCCCCATTCCTTCTGAAACCTCCACTCCTGACCCAGTTCTAAAGGGTAAGAGTTTGGGCCAAGGACACAGTCAGCAAAATCAAAGCCTTTCAGCTAGTGTTGAAGAAGGGACCAAGCGGTAAAGAAAGCAAACAATATCCGATGCCACCAAAACAACAGGTCACAAGCAGCCAAAGGACTCCTAGTGGTTCCTACTTAGGGTTTTCCCACACACCTCACACTGGAAATGCTCATTTGGAGACAATTCTAACCCCTCCAGGGCCCTGACAAGATCCTCCCCAGATGTCACACAGAGAAGCCTATAGAAACCCTTAGGCCCGGATGTACTCTCTGGACAGAAGGGAGCAGCCCCACACCCCAGCCAGGGACAGCCTCTGATCCCATAATTAGGGTCTGCTTTTGGCTGGCATTGTCATAAACAAACAGAGGATGGGATCAATAATAATAACAAGAAAACTAAAAATGGAGATTCCATTTGACCCTGCTACACCTCTTCTAGGTTAAAGACATTGTATGACAGTGACCCTCGCACACCCATGTTTATAGCAGCACAGCTCATCATAGCTAAAGCTTGGAAGCAGCCTCTATGTCCATCAACAGATGAATGGATAAAGAAGATGTACGGAGTACTATTCAGCCATAAAAAGAATAAATTTGAGTCATTTGTGGGAAAATGGATGCACCTTGTGACTATAATGCTAAGAGAAATAAATCAGACCCAGGAGATTAAATATCACATGGCTCCTCTTATAGAAGAACCCAAAGTAGAAATCATTTTGGAGCAAAATAAAAGATTGATGAGGAGAAACAGGGAGATGGACTGAGGGGACTTTGGGGTGGGCAGAGATGGTAGGGAGAGGAGCGGAGGGCAATTAAAAGTCTTAGGGTGTGCTACATATATTAGCAATCTCCCAGGCTGAATGTATTTGTTATGAATTCCAAACATAATGGAATAGAAAAGGGAAGAAGAAAAAAGAATAATAATGAGCTGAGTGTGACAGCACATGCCTATATTCCCCAGCACTCTGAGAGGCTGAGGCAGGAGGATTGCAGGGTGAAGCCCAGCCTGAACAATGTAGTGACTTAGTGAGAATTTGTCTCAAAATTTAAATATAAATTTTTTAAAAAAGAGCTAAGGATGTGATACAGTGCAAAATCCCTGGGTTCATTTTCTAGTACTATAATAACAATAATAATGATAATTGTGAGCTTTCAGGCACTAGGTGATCCATACACTTGAAATCATCCACAACATACAACACTATTGTTTTCTGTATTTTACAGAGAAGGAACCTGACATCCAGAGAGATTGACTTACCTTGGGTTACATACATCATGAATGCTGGAGTGGTTGGCTTCCAATGACTCTATCCTGCTCTTGACACTGTATTTGCACAGTGTAAAATTAAGCAAGATGGGTGAAAAGAAATAAATAAACCAATTTGCAAATAATCATGTGTGATCAAACAAACATCTTATAATATTGTCATTCTTCTGTTTATACTTTACTGTCTTTGTATTTGTTGGAAGGCTATAAAGATGTGTTTTCCTCAATTTACCTCTTTTTTTAAGCAAAACGTTTATTGGTACTTTTTAGGCATACATAATGATAACACTCATTGTAGGGAATTTGTACCTATACGTGATATATCCCGCCTCTTTTTTCCCACTCCCCTCTCTCCTAAAGCCCCCTCTTCTCCCTACGTGAAAAGCTTTGTTTTCATTTTTTCATTCTATTTTCTTGTTCTTCCTTCCTTTCTCTCTCTGTCTTCTCTCCTCAGTTTACCTTTAATGCCTTCTTTTCCAAGCCTTGGGGGCCCTTGTGTTCCTTGTCTTGTATTTCTGGGGGTAGGGGTCACGGGATACTTATTCTCCCTGATGATTACTAAAGCATTAAACCTTTTATCCTCACAGAAGAGGGGACGGAAGGAAGTAAATTTGTATTTTAAACTTTAGGCGTTGTCTCTCCAAGCACCGATAGTACTTCATGTTGCTTATCTGCGAGACTGGTGGGGTACTAGCAGGAAGAGCAAGAGGTCTGCTTGCTCTGCATTCTGGAACCGGGTAGGTAGGGATGAATACAGCAAACAGGGTATAGATGTTTGTGTGAAAGATTTGATCTTGGGGAAGGAGAGGGGTTAAAAGTAGAGGTTATTTGGAGTCAAGTGCTGAACGGCTTTCAAGGAGCTCAGCTCACACACTGGTAATGAACTCTTCAAATACTCTCCTGGGGGCATCCCCCATGTCCAGTCTATAACAAGACCAATAACTCACTTTTTGATCCCAGAAGCTACTTGTTCAATTCTCTTGACTTCAGCACTAAAATGAGTTGTTTATTATTTATGGCAAATATAAAACACAAAAGGCCTGTCCCAACCTGTGGTCAGTCTCAAGGGTTGCGACTTGTTTTCTAAGAACTTGCATGTAGACAACAGCCAGATTTCTGGAAAGATTTAAGTAAATCGAATGTATCCAGATGCCCATTTAAAGACCTGTTTTAGCGATACATATTAAGCATCTATTTTGATAAATGGCTGCATACATGGAAACTTTCAGAAAGCCAACTCGAACTGGAGGCTTGGCAGTTTGAAAATATTCTGGCCAAATAGCCAATCAAAGAAAACAAAGGCTAATAACATGTATCATTCTCCACGTGAACTTGGGTCAACCAGCTAACTTTTCTGAAACATGTTTTTCTCACAATATAAGACCAGATTTTATTAATTTAAAAACTATGATAGCCTGGTTAACAACTAGATAAATGTCTCATAAATTTCGGATGGATTGGGGATGCTGGTATTTGGGCTCCAGGGCCCTCCTTAGGGCCTTTAAGAGCAAATACCCTTAGGAGGAATGGGGATTAATCACCTACTAAACCTCTCAGGACAATGTATGTAATCACTGTAGGCTGTTTTCCTTCATTACTTCATAATGTTTATTTACTTAGCTTTTAATTAATTTTATTTTTATGTGCAAGTAGTATGTGCAAAGGGTGGAAAAGCAAACAACAAAAGGATTTCCTTTGAAAAATCCATCCAGGGATAACTCTGATGGCCAGTTTCTACCCATTTTAAGCAGGTATAGTATTTTTTTTTTTTACCAGAAATAGTAGCATGACATAAAAATTCCACACCTCACCTGAAACACTTGTTATCTAGATGCCCCTTCAAAGGCTCATGTGTTGACAGGTGGGACTTTTGGGAGTGACTGGCTCATGGGTGTGTGATATTGGATTAGTCCACTGATTGGTTCAGCACAGTTCTGGGTGTTGGATGATGGACTTACTGAAGAGGGAAAACCCACCTTGCATCTGGGTAGCACCAACCAATAGACTCGTACCCTGGATAGAATAAAAAGGGAAAGAAGAAGGATGTTGGGTTGCCTCCTGCCTGCCCTGCTACAGACTGTTTCTCCTCTGCCACGCTGCCCTGCCTTGGAGCCGACTATGGACTGAAACTTCCACAAACTGTGAGATAAAAATAAACCTCTCCCCCTTTAACTTGTGTCAAGTATTTTGTCCCAGCAACAAGGAAGTAGCTAAGCTACACCACCACTACCAGTAACTACTTTACACTGACATAGTTTGCTCTTTCTTTTGGATCAGTTGAGTGATTCTGAGCTATGTCTTTCCCTTGTTTTTTGTTTGTTTGGTTTTGTAACTAAACCATGGACATTATATGGACTTTACTCATTTTTTGTCAACTGTGCTTTTTTCATCGTAGGATCCAGTCTAGGTACCTGGTTACCTAATCTTAGGTATGCTCCAATCTGTAACATTTCCTCAGTCTCCTCTGTTTTTCTTTTGCTAGTTTTTTCTCCCAAGTTTTTATTAGCTTATATTGGTTATACTGATCAATGGGTTTCACCAAGATAGATCTGTACATGCACAGAACATACTGTAATCAGTTTCCTGAATCACCTGTCTTATCTGACCACCCTCCTAGGTTCACATTGCAGGAGTGTGTGTTGCTCAGTGGGCATAAGATAAGGAGCCTACTGTGTGTCTTACATGTTAGGAAAAGGGCTCAGGATACAAAGTTGTGGAGCACACAAGACTCTGCTCATAGCGGCGAGTTTGTGCCAGAGAGGAAAGTCAACACAGGTCTGTACGGAATGGAGGAAGCGCTGTCCAGCTGCTCAGCAGCACCAAGAGCAAGCGCCAGATTCTCACTGGAGAGAAAGAGGTTTCCTGAAAACTCTGCTGGAATCCTGCCTTTAAAATGGCAGAAGAGAGACCGGGGCCAGATTCTAAGAACTCTTCTGGAGTCTGTTCTGCAGAATCTCACATTATGAAAGTCACCTTTTAGCATCCAATATCCAGAGCGAAACGATTAAATCTGTATGCAGAAAAGCAACCATCCACCTCTCACAAAACCAACCAAAATCCCTGAGTAACAGCGATTCGGGGGTGGCAAAACCACTTTTATATTCTAGTTTCTCCGTGAGCGACGCACCCATTTCATAGAAAATCACAGGCACAGCTGGGGCAGGGCCCGGGCAAGGCTGAGACTTTTTGGTCGCATCTGACATCAGTCTCCTTAGAAACCAGGCACCAGCTCTGGGTCAGCAGCTTGGCCGGGCTAGAAGAAGACGCTGAACACAGATTAATCTGTGCTGGCCTAGAAAAGGCTCAGAGAGGTAGGACCGGCGTCCCAGGCGCCCCCCACAGAAGACGTCGCACGCTGTCCCTGGCCACCCGCGGGTCTTGAACCAAGAGACGTGCATCGGGGATTTTTCTCAACCCCCAGCCTCAGCTCCAGCTGGGGTCCGTCTTCTTGGAAGCTGGGCTGTGCTCTCCGCTGCCATCTGTGCGCTCCGCCTCGCCACTCGCGCGCTCCCCTCGGCGTCCACACCTCCGCTCCCTGGGGCCGTGCGCGCTCGAGCGCCGTGCGGGGCGGGGCTCAGGAGACCACGCCCCGGCCCCCCTCCCTGGGCGGCGGAGATGGACAGGGCGCAGGCCCTTTCCCGACCAATGAGCGCGCGCCGGGGCGGGCCCTGGAGCCGGCTGCTCCGGCTACTTAGAGTGCTCGGTGAGGCGGTGGGAACGCCGAGCCTAGCCGGGACTGGCCAGGTGGAGCTGCGCCCCAGCCGGTGTAGACGGGAGCGCACCGGTACCGCGCCGCGGGGTAGAGCCGAGCCGCAGCCCCTCGGGCCGCCCGGGACCCACGTGCACCGCGGCGTCTGCAGCACCCATGGGAACCTGGAGACTTTAAAGGAGTTTGGGGTTTCGGGAGCAGGGAAATCACGGGTACGGAGAGTCAGCTTTCTTGGCCTTGCGAACGTTTGTTCTTCGCCCGATTGTTGGATCGCGTGCCTGAGAGGAGGGCGAGGGTTTTGTGGCTGGAAATGGACCTCCCCGCGCCAACCCCGCGCGGGTGCGGGCCTCGGCTTCCTCGCTCCTTTCCCCGTCTCTTTGTTAGGTTATCTTAGACCCAGCAGCCTCGCCCTGGCGCAGTCCGAGTGGCTCTGCCGGGGGCAAGGTGGGCAAAGAGAGGGGCAGAGTGCACCTGTCTGCGTGGGCAGGTGTGGCCGGGCTCTCGTGTGTGCGTGCATCGGCGAGTGTGCAAGCGTGGGTGGGATTGTGCCCGAATGTGTGTAGGGGAGGTGGTTCAGTGTAGCAGTGTGGCAGTGCGTCCTCGCGAAGATTTGTCATTGTGGGTGTGTGTGACATTAGCACCGTAGGTGTCTGTACCAGCCTGTTCGTGTTCGTACCCCTAAGTGTTCGAAAATGTTGCTGCCGATGTGCCGATTGTCATTGTGCCAGCCGCTGTCACGGGTGGGGTGCGACCTCGTGCCACGCTGGGCGGTGGGCGCGGAGAGTGGGGACGGGAATGGGAGCGCAGCCTGCTCCCAGGTCTCAGGCCTTAGGTGGCCCTTGTCCCTGCCAAGCAATCCACCCTTGCGTTCGGCCGCAGCGCGCGAGAACTCCGCTCGCACTTCCACCAGCCTGCGTGTCCTCTGCTGGGAGTTGCACCGGGTTCCCGGACGCGGTGGGAGGCTGCGTGGGCCTGCGTGGGGCGTCCTCTCCGGCGCCCCGGATCCGTGGCCGCGTCTGCGCCTCCTCCCCGATCCCGGAGGAGGCTCCAGGATCCCGGCTGGCACCGGTGACCCCCGGCGGGCACACGGACAGGCGGGCGGGCTGGCCCCAGGGGCGCTGTGGGTCTTGGGGAAGGGGCCCTCCGAAAGGGTCACCCCGACTATGATGGTGTCCGCTTCTCCTTCGCCAGATCCCCGTTCCTGGCCCTCGCCTCGCCGCGTCATTGATGGGCAACCAACTGGATCGAATCACCCACCTCAGCTACAGCGAGCTGCCCACAGGGGACCCGTCGGGGATCGAGAAGGACGAGCTGCGGGTCGGGGTCGCCTACTTCTTCTCGGATGAGGAGGAGGACCTGGACGAACGCGGGCAGCCCGACAAGTTTTGCGTGAAGGCCACGGCAGGCTGCACCCCCTGCCCGGAGAGCCCCAGCCGCCACCACCACCACTTGCTGCACCAGCTGGTGCTCAACGAGACTCAGGTCTCCGCCTTCCGGGGCCAGGAATGCATCTTCTCCAAAGTGAGCGGCGGCCCGCAGGGCGCCGACCTGAGCGTCTACGCGGTCACCGCGCTGCCCGCGCTCTGCGAACCCGGCGACCTCCTGGAGCTGCTGTGGCTGCAGCCCGCGCCCGAGCCGTCGGCGCCCGCCCCGCACTGGGCCGTGTACGTGGGCGGCGGCCACATCATCCACCTGCACCAGGGCGAGATCCGCCAGGACAGCTTGTACGAGGCGGGCGCCGCCAACGTGGGCCGGGTGGTGAATAGCTGGTACCGCTACCGCCCACTGGTGGCCGAGCTGGTGCTGCAGAACGCGTGCGGCCATCTGGGCCTCAAGAGCGAGGAGATCTGCTGGACGAACTCGGAGAGCTTCGCCGCCTGGTGCCGCTTCGGCAAGCGCGAGTTCAAAGCCGGAGGGGAGGTGCAGGCGGGCACGCAGCCCCCGCAGCAGCAGTACTGCCTCAAGGTGCACCTGGGGGAGAACAAGGTGCACACCGCCCGCTTCCACAGCCTGGAAGACCTCATCCGTGAGAAGCGCCGCATAGACGCCAGCGGCCGCCTGCGCGTGCTGCAGGAGTTCGCTGACTTCGTGCGCGACAAGGAGTAGCCGCCCCGGGGCTGCCCGGACCCCGCGCGCGGCCCCTCCCCGCCCTCAGCGATTCTGCACCCCCGCCCCCCTCGCGCGCGCGACCGGAGCCGCCGGTGGTCAGTGGCGGGGCTGCAGCCTTGCCCCCCAACAGCAAGTGCCAGGAAGACACGGAGACAGACACCGGACGCCAGGACGGAAGGGGCGCAGCGGCACGCGCCGGCCCGCGCTCCCGGAGGTGGTGACGCTCTGGAGCCCCGGCGCGCTTTCCCCTCGAGTTGTCAGACGGCAAGGGCGGGCGGGAAGAGGGGCGCAGGGGCGCAGCGTTTTGCGCCCACAGGGGAAGTCCCCTTACTAAAAAGGGGCGGTCACCGCCCCGAAATGCGCGAGCACGGGCCAGTCCCTTGGCTGGCGAGAATTCTCTTTGCAGGGCTCTTGGATAGGTCCCCGGATCGCAGGGTTTCCAAGAAATCCAGCCCGTCTGTCGTTGGTGCACTTGGAAATCGCTCCGCGAGGTCTGGGTCATCCCGAGGCTGCCTGGGACTCTTCCACCTCTCCCGGACCCAGGTCTCCCGCCGCTGCCCTCCAGGCTCTGGGCTGAGCTATTTTCTGCTTCCTGTTGCTTGCACGAGGAAGCAGACGCCACCCCCACCCGCATTTGCCCAGTGAGTCTCCAGACCGCAGAGGTTCCGGGCGGTGAGGAGAGGTGACTCCGCCTGGATAGGGAGCGAGTTCACCCGGTGTCTGGAACTCGAACGAGTAGAGCAGGGCGCTTGTTCTAAACCCTCGATTGCTCCTTCCTCGGGCTGCATTTCAAAAATAGTCATGTGTTTAACTGGGCTAGAGGAGAGGGAGGGGGAGGACGCGACATTCCGGAAACCAGCATTAGGGCAGCAGCACGTAGCCAGTCAATTTAGGTTGGCTTTCCCTAACAGAGATAGATCTTAGCCCGCGGGAAGTGGAAATTAAGTTTTAAACATGAGAGCGGAGATTTCTAACTATGTCAACAAAGCCTATCGTGTTGATGTTTTTATTGACCATTTTAGCAACATGCTAATAAAATTTCAAATTGAAATTTTTATTTTCATGGCTTTACTCCATGATAGTTTAAATACTGGGGGCCATTAAGAGTGGATGTAGCTAAGAGCTTAGCTAACATTGCCTTTTTCACTCTATTTTTCTTAAATCTTACGAGAATTCTGTTTTTTGAATATTGTAGTTTTTTTTAATTTAAATAGCAGCCCAAGTAATGGTGGAGTTATTAATGTCTATGTTGTCCTACATTTCTGCCAGGTAAAGGGTTTATTTGGTTTGGTGGAAATTGCTGGCAGGCTCGGTGTGGATTTTTTTCTCCATGTGGTACAGCATTACCATTTCACATTTGCATTTTTTTTAACTGTCTCCTCCTGCTCTCCTTAAAAAGGACTGCAGTTTGTGGCTGTATCCCCTCTTCTTTAGCCAGTCCCAAAATACATTCCCTAAAACAGGGAAAACCTTGTAGGGTCAGTACAAATACGTGTTTTTCACACAACGTAGGGTTGTGTGAAACTCCCTCCGTGGGTGAAGGACGACAGCCTTCTCTCCTTGGGCTGCAGCCCTGCCTGAGGGATCCTGCTGGACTCCATGCATTGGGCACCCCTATAGCATCTACGTCTCTTTCCAGGGAACTTGTCAAATACTGGTGTTTAGCAAATTGTTGCAAGCAGTTGCGTCTTGACAGCTACGATTAGCTGGACAGCAGATTTTGTGGCCAAAGCCAGTTTCTTGGCATTTCAAAAATAATGCAATAAAAACTAGTCGAAGTTAGCTAAGACTGGAAATGCCTTTTCCATGGGAAATGATTCATTATGTTCTATTTTTTATTTTTATTTTCTTTTGGCTTTCATTCTGGATTCATTCCCTGATCTTGAATCAAGAGGTCAGATCAATGAAATATGAACTAGAGTATTTTTCTTAAGCCTATTGAGTGATTTATATTTTAAAAATGTTTAAATGCATATGCTTTTCTTTCAGCACACGAAACAAACTTTTGTAATGACTAACTTACCTTTGCATGTATGGAGAACTGAAAATCATTTATTTCCCTAACTTATTCTTCTCTCAAATAACAGATGACAAATCATAAAATGAAATTCTTTATTGTATCTACACACTCCATATTCTTTACTGTGTTTCCTTCTGTATCTTGGCTCCCTGCTGTATTAAACCACCATCCTAACCACCAGGACTCCTTCTTGACATTTTGTCTTCCCCCTGTCACTCAAAAGTGGGACTTCCACAAAAGAAAGGAATCAGTCTCTATCCTACCTCATATTGAGATGTATTTCCTCTGGTAGCACATAATCTGATTTCTTCTCACTAAGAGGGTCACTCTAAAAGGAGAATGACAGCTTTCAACTTGCTGAAACTAGATGACAATTAAAAATAAGATTTGGACAGTTAAAGTAGCATTCATTATTAGGTTTGTCTGGTAAGGATTTGGTTGCTGGCAACCATTCTACAAATTCACAATAATAAAACACTGGTCACTTAAGGAGCATGAACAGTTCTAAAGATTTTCTTCATCATCTTCCTATTGAAATAATTAATATCTCTTGGTCAACGATAATGAAGTCAGTTGCAGAACATAATAACAGCACATCATGGAGAATATCAAGATACTATCTAAAAGCTTTACCCTGAAAAAGGTGTATTCGTTCAGCATCATTAAAGGTGTTACTGCATCCAAAGGGGTGGAAGTTCCTTTGTTGATGGTGTAAGCTCACTGGACTGTCATTAGGGGTGAATGCCAAATCTGTAGATTGTCTCAGTTACAGAGATTAAGACCTCTGTCTTTTAACATTTTAATAGGATCCAGGAGTTTAGGTCCGGTTTGGTTGTTCATAGTTACTTCCAGGAGGGCCCAGCTGCAGACTGGTTCTATCCATCCTTCTCCCGCAAAGAGGAAAGCTCTCTTTTTCCCCATTCCTCCTCAGCTTTCGGGGGATGATTCTGAAAAGCAAACCATTGTTAAAAGAATGTGAAATAAGGTAGATATTTCTGAGTGCTTTTCATATTTTTGCAAGGGGAAAAGAGGAAGAAGGAGAAGGAGGGAAAAGAGGAAGAAGGAGAAAGAGGGAAAAGAAAGAGGAGGAAGAGGATCGAGGAGAGGCAGGTGCTGGGTATACTTTAAACAAAATCAGTCCTAAAATGCCAGTATTCCCAAAATGTATTTTTTCTTCTCAAAAAGGAATCCTGTAGAAGTTACGCATGTTGCATTTACTTTTCTTTTTCTTTTTTTTTTTTGGAACCGGGGATTGAACTCAGGACCTTATGTTTTCCAGGAAGGCGCTGGTGCCACTGAGCTAAACCTCCAGACCTGTATTAACTTTTGTAAAAAAAAAAATCAGTAATATAATAATAAGCCTAACTAATATGCATAAAATTTCCTCAGTATTTAAAATGTTAAGCCCCTATCATGAAAGCAGATAGATAGATAGATAGATAGATAGATAGATAGATAGATAGATAGATAGATTGATTTGTGCCAGATACAACATCAAACACAGAAGCAAGTTTGTAAGTTCTCTAATGTTACATGATTTCACAAGAAATTGCTTTTGGCATTTTCAGATTTTTCTTCCCCTTTTTATCATATTTCTTGGTTGAATGATTTTATCTGAATACTATTTTTTTTCAGAAAGGCAATGTACTGCTGTTTCGAAAATAATGAATTACCTGAATCGCAAGAATACCCTAACAGTCTTTGAACTTCACTTAGTTGATTACTTAGGTTTTACTCTGTGTTTTTACCATCCCTGAGAGTTAGCAGTTGTAGTCATCTAATCAGTTGATGAAACAGTGTCAGTTTTCAGTGGAATCAACAATAAATTGCACAATCATAGCAGAGCCACCTAATTCTCTTTGTTCCCACAAATAATTTTGGTTGTCTCTCCCTCTCTGCTGCCCCCAACTTGAACCCAGAGCCTACATCCACAGCCATTTAAAAAAATGAAAAGAATCTAGTTTTAAATAAAGGAAAATGATCTACTTCATGTTAGCTTCTCAGAGATATTTGCCATACACAGAAAATTCTTCAGGTAAAAAAAAAAAAAATGCAGGCTTCCAGGTTTCCTGAGTACGAAGATGCATTTCGAAAAGGTTTTTAGATAAGATCCATGTGTATTTTTCTCAAAAATTATTAGTTATTAGCAGAATATACAGAAATACATGCCTGTTTGCACATACACACACACACACATATACGTATATTTCTGCCAACAGCTGTTAATTTTTATTTCAGTCACACACACACACATGCAGACTTTCAAAAAGACAACATGGAAAGTGACCTTGAGATTTGTAACACCAAGAGGGGAGATCTGGGACTCAGAATAGTAATAGGGAGATAGACAGCAAGAAACTGCCTAGAACTGAGCGTAAACAAAAAGGAGAAAATATGGAAGCTGCAGTGTTGGCTTTAGTCTCAATTAGAAAGTTCCTCATTTCTCCAAAAACGTAATTCAAAGGAAAGCTGAAAAGATTTCAAAGTAATTGAAAAATAAGATGAAGTAGGAAGTTTATGAAATGATATAAGGAGTTAATAAGTTTTCCAACAGGGGATACCTGCTCTCCATTCTAACTGAAGACAATAGGAGAAAGCTAAAATCCAATTTTCCAACCCTTTAAGAATTTATAAGATTCTCTGATTTCATAACTCAAAGTTTACCTTTGAGGTTGTGTTTGGCTCACTTGAACTTGCAATTTAAAAGGTTTAAGTATTTGAATATGTTGGGGGAAAAGGAAAAAAGTCTTTTCTGCTCTTGTTCCTGAAGGTGATTTGTATGATTCTTGCTTCTGATAGTCGAACACCCAGATGAATAGTTTTCTATGCTTTTTTTCCAGTCTTTTTGCTGTCATAAATATATGATTGTCCATAAATACACGATGGTGGCATCTCTTCAATAGATATGGTTCTCACTGATTCTTGATTACCAGGAAATCCAAAAGCTCACCATTTGGTTTATCTGTGAGGGGGAACTGAAATCGGTAGTTTGCATCCCACAGAAAGTTCGTGGTGATCCATTTTATACAACTTGAAACTGATTAATTTCACTTGTATTTGAAAGTTCAGTTTGTTCCTAGAAAAAAAATCAAAGAATCTAGGAAATGTTGTCTTATTATTTGGTCAGAAAGGGGAAAGTAAACTAATAATTCGGACTCTAATTTCTCACAGCTTCATCTCTTATTCACCTCCAGGAGAGGCTTTTTTTCTTGCATGAAATCACAAGATTTCAGAAGGAAGCTTATTATTATAGTTCTTGCTAAAAATTTTCCTTGGTATGTAGGGAAAGACTTACTAGAATATGCACTTAACTTTCTGGGAAAATTAGATTTGATGCAGTTTGGTCATGGGTGTTCTTCTACATAAACATGACTCATTTTTATAATAAATATTAAAATAATTGCCATGCCTGAGCGCTTTTACAATCCAATTATTCTTTTATGTGAACATGAGTTCTGAACTTAATTTTGTCCAAAGGATAGACAATGATGAATAATAAGGTGTGAATAGAGCCAGTGTCTTAAATTTCTAGCACAAAATAAATACTCCTAAAGTTAATTTGAGCTTCATTCAATGTGCAGAAAAACCAAAAGCAATCATATAAGGCTATTCCTTTTGTGCTTGTTAAGAAACCTCTTGTCATCAATCCGTGATACAGATATTAATGTCCAATTTGTGCAATGGGAAACTTGAGGGATGTTCTTATTATAAGTATGTTGATACTTGCTTTAGCAAATCAGCTACTCTAAACTCCATCATTCCCCCTCCAGTCATCCCATGACATGCCAGCTATTCACACAGTGCCAAAAGCACTATTTTCAGATTTCAGATCCTCCCAGAGGATGCTCAGGTCTCGGGGCCAGACTGATGATGACTTTATAAAACCTCTGAACTCCCAAATAGCAGAGTCGTTCTTCCCACCTTTTGATTCCCAGTGGACCTGTCTGCTTGGGGAGGGAGGGTGTAGAGCCCAGGCAGCAAAACTCAGGGATGGGGTTGGCATATTTAGCAAATAAAAACAGGATTCTCAGTTCTATTACCACTTCAGATAGAGGACAGATGTTTTCAGATAAGTATGCCCTACACAATGCATACAGCACGTTTATGCTAAGAGTTCTGTGTACCTGGAACCCACATGTAACCGCACATCTGGGATACCACCTGGCAACCTTACCAAGGGGGAATTTGACCATGTCTCGGAACCTCAGCGTCCCCCACGAGCCCACCAACCAAGGACACCCCTACCCACAGCTCCGAGCTTCTGTCGGATTGTCTGTGCACCTTCGAGGGCCAAAACCACACGCAGGGCAGGGATAAGCACAGCTTTTAGGAGAAACCTGAGTTCATGGGCCAGGCCACCACTGAGAGAGTTGGCTGTGCAGATGCACAGATGGGGAGCGGTGAGTGGGAATTGGGGGTGTTTCATGGGTCTTTAATCTTGCACTCTCTTGATTGTGCTTTATGGGATGTTGCCATCCTTTTTCTGGAGTATGATGACTACTCTCCTAGACACAATCAGAAATATTCTATGCCACCAGTTTTCATTTCACTTGCCACTTACCCAAGTGTGACCTGCACTTTAAACCTGGCTGTTACCATGACTTCCTCTTTTGTCTCTGTCCCCAAAGCCCTCTCTCCAGACACAGCCATAGCGATCACCCCAAACAGAACTCTTGATTCCAGAGTGGCAAACCCTTATTCGTCCATCCTTTACGGCCAAGCCCCATGCCACCTCTCAGGATGATTTTAGTTATTTCCTTCCGGGTGTTACCATTGTATATTATTGATAGCAACCCCAGACTTTCTGTCCTCTACCACAATGATCATTTCCTGTTCCTCCTCCAGTCTGTCAGTCCTAGGAAGACTGTAGGACTCACACATTTTTTCAGCTGCAACTTGGCAGTGCTCCACTATTCAATGGATAGGAGAAGAACTGGGGAAGGGGAAGACCTGGTTTTCAATGAACTCTACATGGGTGGAACGACCTCAGTGTTTAACAGCTTCTATGTGATTCTCTCGAAGAAGCATACAGTAGAAAATAGTTTCTGATTAAAAATAAACTGGAATGATGAGGAATTATACTACAAACAATAAGAGATTGGCCACAGATAGTTTAAGTCGTTTGCCCTGCCCTGACCATACTGGTACACACATTTATCCATGAGTGAACTTTCTGA